ACTCTAAACTCCAAGGCATACTAGTGTTTGCCTTGTCGATGTTAGGTGCTCATCACTCTTTCTCCAATACTAGCACTCTGCCTCACATGTAATGTCTTCAGTAAATACTTTTTGAATGAATTACTAAAAGTTTGCTACTCAGCTAAATCAGCAATAAGCCCACCCTCAAGGAGCTGAGTCTAAAAGAGAAGATTAAACGCAGACATAAATAATGGCAATATAAGATGAAAAGGGGTATGTGTGACAGTCAATAGAGCATTCTAGGAATTCAGAGGTGGAGAAATTTCTTACTGCAAGGGAGGTAGTAAACTATTTCACTGAGATGATGATGTTTGCTTTTATCTTCAGTGAATGGATTTTAAACATACAAAGATTATCAGCATGCATTCCAGCCACGGGGACATCAAGAACAACCCATGGTAGTAAGAAACAATAACATGAACACAAGGAAACGGTGAATGGTTTCTACTGGATGAAAAATAAATTAAGTCTACTTCATGAGTCAAAGACTTCATGCAATCAAATCTCTTCACCCTGACTCAAATACTCTGACGATTGGCTGCACCTGGTTCTAACTCCTATCACTTAATTCACCTCTTTTTATTCATTCAGTGATTTTTACTTTTATCCATTTATTCATTATTTTTTTTAAAAAAAGGCATTATTTATCTAAGAACACAGCTAGGCACCATTTCCAAAGATTAGAAAGGAAAATGAATTTCACCCACGTCTTTCAGAACAGAGTAGAAGACTTTGAAAGACAACGACCACTTGTACTCTTCTCTTTCACTTCTCAAAGCACCTGTCACAAAATGATGCTCAAATGCAAGTTGAACACACAAATACACAAAAATAATAGCTGGTTTTAAATTAATTTAAAAGTTGATTAAGAGAAAATTGGCCCTTTTTTCCAACAAGGTGCTCACTTAATGTTCACTACTGGTTACTTCTACAAAGCTCAATTGTATTTATTAAATAAGTCTACATATTAATGGGAATCACTTACTGTCCTGGGGCATCAGGCTTGGCAAGTTGTCTAAGATATGATCCTTGCCTTGAAGGCACAGAGAGACGTAAAAGCCACGGACTAGTCCAGGCTCTGAGGATCCAGTGGTGAATGAGACAGAGAAAGTCCTTATTCTCGGAGAGTTTCCAGACCAGAAAGGGGATACCTACAACAAAGAAAAATACTATTACAAAACTTTAAGATAATTCCAAAAAGTGATATATGCTACAAGATTATAAAGCAATGTAATATAACAGAAAGCTATTGCGTCTAACTTCTTTAAACAGGGGCTCAGGAAAGACTTTCTGAAGAACTGCCATTTAAGCTGACAATCTGAGGACAGGGTGTTCTAGGCAGTGTGACTGGCAATTCAAAGGCCTTATGTTTACCTCACACCACTCAGAATGGCCATCATTAAAAAGTCTGCAAATAACAAATGCTGGAGAGGGTATGAAGAAAAGGGAACCCTCCTACACTGTTGGAGGAAATGTAAATTCGTACAACCACTACGGACAACGGTATGGAGGTTTCTTCAAAAATTAATAATAGAGTTATATGATTCAGTAATCCCACTCCTGGGCATATATCTGGAGAAAACTCTAATTCAAAAAGATACATGTAACCCAATGTTCATAGCAGCACTTTTCACAATAGCCAAGACATGGAAGCAACCCAAGTGTTCATTGACAGATCAATGGATAAATAAGATGTGGTATATGTATACAATGAAATACTACTAAGCCATAAAAAATAATGAAATAATGTCATCTGCAGCAACATGGATGGACCTAGAGATTATCACACTAAGTGAAGTAAGTCAGGAGGAGAAAGACAAATATCATATGATATCACTTATATGTGGAATCTAAAATATGACACAAATGAACATATCTATGTTCATATCTAAACAGAAACAGAATCAAAGACTTAATAAACTTATGGTTACCAAAGGGTGGGGAGAGTGGAGGGATAAGTTAGGAGCTGGGATTAAGAGATACAAAAACAAGGTCCTACTGTATAACACAAGGAATTATATTCAATATCTTATAATAAACTATAATGGAAAAAAAATCTAAAAAAGAATAGATATATATAAATCAATTTGCTGTACACCAGAAACTGACAGAATATTGTAAATCAAGTAAAATTCAATAAAAACAAAACAAAACATAGGCTTAAAGTCTAGAATAAATTAGCTTATACATCACATATATCACTATTTAAAGTGAGGTAAGTAACTTAAGACGACTTAGAAAGAGATACTGGAACACTAAACAGTCAGTGTTTAAAGTTCAAAGCTAGGCAAAAAAACCCCAAAAACCCAAAACCGCAAAAACGCTAGGCACAGACTCCACTGAGACAATCTCACTCACAGCACATTCAGGGTGAGGACACATATATATGCTGTGAGTTTTCCTGATCTGTTAACCACAAATTATCCCTGGTGGTCAACCATGAATTGGAGGCCACCCCTAACTGCCTTGGCTTCCTCTCTCGCTAGCTGTCATGCTGTCAAGTTCTTGGCACCCTTGGATGCCTGTGCTAAAATGCAATTTTTGGGTTTTTTGTTTGTTTAAAACTTTTGTTGGAGTATAATTGCTTTAAAATAGTATGTTAGTTTCTGCTATAACAAAGTGAATCAACTATACATATATCCCCATGCCTCCTCCCTCTTGTGTCTCCCTCCCACCCTCCTTATCCCACCCCTCTAGGTGGTCACAAAGCACAGAGCTGATCTCCCTGTGCTATGCAGCTGCTTCCCACTAGCTATCTATTTTACGTTTGGTAGTGTATATATGTCCATGCCACTCTCTCACTTTGTCCCAGCTTACCCTTCCCCCTCCCCGTATGCTCAAGTCCATTCTCTAGTAGGTCTGTATCTTTATTCCTGTCTTGCCCCTAGGTTCTTCATAACCTTTTTTTTTTTTTTAGATTCCATATATATGTGTTAGCATACGGTATTTGTTTTTCTCTTTCTGACTTACTTCACTCTGCATGACAGACTCTAGGTCCATCCACCTCACTACAAATAACTCAACTTCATTTCTTTAAATGGCTGAGTAATATTCCATTGTATATATGGGTCACATAATCTTTATCCATTCATCTGTCGATGGACACATACATTGATTCCATGTCCTGGCTATTGTAAATAGAGCTGCAATGAACATTCTGGTAAATGACTCTATTTGAATTATGGTTTTCTCAGGGTGTATGCCCAGTAGTGTGATTGCTGGGTCCTATGGTAGTTCTATTTTTAGTTTTGTAAGGAACCTCCATACTGTTCTCCATAGTGGCTGTATCAATTTACATTCCCACCAACAGTGCAAGAGGGTTCCCTTTTCTCCACATCTCTCGAGCATTTATTGTTTGTAGATTATTTGACGATGGCCATTCTGACCAGTGTGAGGTAGTACCTCCATGCCCTTTCGATTTGCATTTCTCTAATGACTAGTGACGTTGAGCATTCTTTCATGTGTTTGTTGGCAATCTATATCTTATTTGGAGAAATGTCTATTTAGGTCTTCTGCCCATTTTTGTTTTGTTTGTTTGTTTGTTTTTTAAGATGACAAAATTATATGAACAGAAATTTCAAAAAGGAAATATGGCTGTCTGATTCACTTTGCTGTACACCTGAAACACAACATTGTAAATTAACTATACTCCAATAAAAATTTTTTAAAAAAAGAAATATGGTTGGAAATTAACACATGGAAAAACACATTGTGTCAATAGGGAAATGCTAGTTAAAATCACTAGATACACCTATGACATCACTGAAATTAGAAAGCCTGAACATACCAAGTGTTGGTAAAAAACAGGAACTCATGTTCTGCTGCTTCTCGTGAGACTATAAAAAGATACTACCATTTTAGAAAAGTTTAACTGGCCACATATAAGGTATACATTCACCTACTCTACTACATAGGAATTGTGCTGCTAGATATTAACTCAAGTGAAGGAAAGCATAAGTCCAGAAGGCACTGCCTCAGTGTGAACTTTGTTTTTTATGAGCTTGGAGCTGCCTACAAAGAACTACATTCATAAGGCTTTTCTCTAGTGTGGATTCTCTGATGGATAACAAGACATCTTCTGTAGACAAAGACTGCCCCAAATTCACTGCACATATAAGGCCTTTCTCTAGTGTGGATTCTCTGGTGGACAACAAGACTTGTTTTGTAAGTGAAGGCCTTCCCACATTCGCTGCATTTAAAAGGCTTTACTCCAGTGTGGACTTTTTGGTGCTGAACAAGTGTATACTTGCGCATGAAGGCTTTCTCACATTCATTACACTTATAGGGTCTTTCTCCAGTATGGATTCTCTGGTGCTCAGCAAGTTTAATTTTGCCATTGAGAGCTATCCCACATTCGCTGCACTTATAATGCCTTTATGCAGTGTGAACATTCTCATGTCTTTTGAGAACAAAACTGCTTGTAAAGAATTTCCCACATTTGTTACACCCATAAGCCTTCTCTAAAGTGTGAATTCTCTTATGCACAATAAGACTTGCTTTGTAGACATAGGCTTTCCCAGATTCACTGCACATGTAAGGCCTTTTTCCAGTGTGGATTCACTGGTGATAAAGAAGCCTTTTTTTGAAGACAAAGGACTTTCCACATTTGCTACACCCATAAGGCCTTTCTCCACTGTGGATCCTCTGGTGCACAAGAAGGTTATTTTTATACAGGAAGCACTTTCCACATGCACCACACTTATGAGGATTTTCTCCAGTGTGGATTTTTTGGTGCTGAACAAGTGAATCCTTGCGAAGGAAGGCTTTTCCACATTCATTACATTCATATGGTCTTTTTCCAGTGTGGATTCTCTGGTGCTCAAAAAGTTTATATTTGTGGGCAAAGACTTTCCCACAATTACAGCACTCATAAGGCCTTTCTCCTGTGTGAACTTTCCGATGATGAATAAGACTGAAGCTGTGTCTAAAGAACTTCCCACAGTCACTGCACTCATAAGGTTTTTCTCCAGTGTGAACTCTCAGGTGCTCTGTGAATTTAAACTTTTTACGAAGGCTTTGCCACATTCACTGCACTTGTGATGCCCTTGCCCAGGGTGAGACACCTCCCTTCTCTGCCTGCTGCTATGTAGATGCTCTCCATCATGGGAGGACTGATGCTGAGGAAAGCCCAAGCTGCCTAGGAAAGCCTTCTCAACCTCTCTGCACGTGAACATATTGTCAGCCAAGTACAAAACATCTTTCTCCACCAGGACACTCGTATCCGAAGTCAGAGGCTTCAGGATAGATGGCTCCAGCTTTGGATTCCTGTCTTCTTTCACTTGTTCTACAGAAACACATTGTTCAGAAATGGCCTCCTCAGCTTCTACTCCATGCCAACAACCCAGGGAGGCTATAAGTGACAGGTTCTCCAGCATCACATCACAGTACAGGAGTCTCTGAGCATCGTTAAGGAGACCCCACTCCTCCTGGGAGAAGGACACAGCCACATCCTCAAAGATCACATGGCCCTGTCCAGGGACCATAAATGCTGCTGCTACCATGGGAACCTGAAACAATAACGGAATCCAAAAGGATGAAGACTCCTTCTTTCCTGGAAAGGACTCAGCCAATGAAAAGCCATGGACTCTGGGCCGGGTCCTGCACTGCGTTGGTTGACATAGGACCCTGTGGGCATGGTGGTGCCAGGAGACTCACAGGATAATGGCAAAGACCTAGGCCAAAAATCCCGGAAGCTGGTTCTGCAACCCGCTCACTCCTGGGCAGTGTGGACGGCGCCCCTCGGGCTCTTTCCAGTTTCTCTAAGCTCAGCCCCACCAAGTGATCCTGAGCCTCGGGTCCTGCAGACGGCAGCAAAAGCAGCCAAACGACCTCCTTCAGGAAGGAGCCGGAAGTCCTGCCCACTCCTAATTCTTCTGCCCCTTTTTGGATTGGGTTGTGTGTTTTTTTGATATTGAGCTGCATGAGCTGCTTGTAAATTTTGGAGAGTAATCCTTTGTCTGTTGCTTCAATTGCAAATATCTTCTCCCATTCTGAGGGTTCTCTTTTTGTCTTTTTTATGGTTTCCTTTGCTGTGCAAAAGCTTTTAAGTTTCATTAGGTCCCATTTGTTTATTTTTGTTTTTATTTCCATTTCTCTAGGAGGTGGGTCAAAAAGGATCCTATGTCCTAGAGTGTTCTGCCTATGTTTTCCTCTAAGAGTTTGATAGTGTCTGCCTTACATTTAGTATTTTAATCCATTTTGAGTTTATTTTTGTGAATTGTGTTAGGAAGTGTTCTAATTTCATTCTTTTACATGTAGCTGTCCAGTTTTCCCAGCACCACTTATTGAAGAGGCTGTCTTTTCGCCATTGTATATTCTTGCCTCCTTTATCAAAAATAAGGTGACCATAGGTGCGTGGGTTTATCTCTGTGCTTTCTATCCTGTTCCATTGGTCTATATTTCTGTTTTTGTGCCAGTTAATATGGTTAATCACATTGATTGATTTGCGTATATTGAAGAATCCTTGCATTCCTGTGATAAACCCCACTTGATTATGGTGTATGATCCTTTCAATATGCTGTTGGATTCTGTTGGCGAGGATTTTGTTGACGATTTTTGCATCTATGTTCATCAGTGATATTGGCCTGTAGTTTTCTTTCTTTGTGACATCTTCCTTTGGTTTTCGTATGAGGGTGATGGCGGCCTCTTAGAATGAGTTTGGGAGTGTTCCTCCCTCTGCTATATTCTGGAAGAGTTTGAGAAGGATAGCTGTTAGCTCTTCTCTAAATGTTGATAGAATTCGCCTGTGAAACCATCTGGTCCTGGGCTTTTGTTTGTTGGAAAATTTTTATTCACAGTCTCAATTTCAGTGCTTGTGATTGGTCTGTTTATATTTTCTACTTCTCCCTGGTTCAGTCTCGGAAGGTTGTAGTTTTCTAAGAATTTGTCCATTTCTTCCAGGTTGTCCATTTTATTGGCATATAGTTGCTCATAGTAATCGGTAATAGTTCGTTGTATTTCTGAAGTGTGAGTTGTTACTTTTCCTTTTTCCTTTCTAATTCTATTGATTTGAGTCTTCCCCTTTTTTTCTTGATGAGTCTGGCTAATGGTTTATCAATTTTGTTTATTTTCTCTAAAAAACAGCTTTTAGTTTTATTGATCTTTGCTATCATTTCCTTCTTTTTTTTTTCATTTATTTCTGATCTGATCCTTATGATTTCTTTCCTTCTGCTAACTTTGGGGGTTTTTTGTTCTTCTTTCTCTAATTGCTTTAGGTGTAAGGTTAGCTTGTTTATTTGAGATGTTTCTTGTTTCTTGAGGTAGGACTGTATTGCTATAAACTTCCCTCTTAAAACTGCTTTTGCTGCATCCCATAAGTTTTGTGTCATCACATTTTCATTTTCATTTGTTTCTAGGTATTATTTTATTTCTTCTTTGATTTCTTTAGTAATCGCTTGGTTATTTAGTAGTGTATTGTTTAGCCTCCATGTGTTTGTATTTTTTACAGATTTTTTTCCTGTAACTGATATCTAGTCTCCTAGCATTGTGGTCGGAAAACATACGTGATACGATTTCAATTTTCTTAAATTTACCAAGGCTTGATTTGTGACCCAAGATATGATCTATCCTGGAGAATGTTCCATGAGCACTTGAGAAGAAAGGATATTCTGTTGGTTTTGGATGGAATGTCCTATAAATATCAGTTAAGTCCATCTTTTTTAATATATCATTTAAAGCTTGTGTTTCCTTATTTATTTTCATTTTGGATGATCTGTCCATTGGTGAAAGTACGGTGTTAAAGTCCCCAACTATTATTTTTTTACTGTCAATTCCGTTTTATGGCTGTTAGCATTTGCCTTATGTATTGAGGTGATCTTATGTTGGGTGCATAAATATTTACCATTGTTATATCTTCTTCTTGGATTGATCCCTTGATCATTATGTAGTGGCTTTTTTTGTCTCTTGTAATAGTCTTTATTTTAAAATCTACTTTGTCTGTTATAAGAATTGGTAATCCAGCTTTCTTTTGATTTCCATTTGCATGGAATATCTTTTTCCATCTGCTCACTTTCAGTCTGTATGTGTCCCTAGGTCTGAAATGAATCTCTTGTAGACAGCATATGTACAGGTCTCGTTTCTGTTTCCATTTAGCCAGTCTAGGAATTTTGGTTGGCGCATTTAATCCATTTACATTTAAGGTAATTATCAATATGTATGCTCCTATTACCATTTTCTTAACTGTTTTGGGTTTGTTATTGTAGGTCTTTTCCTTCTCTGTGTTTCCTGCCTAGAGAAGTTCCTTTAGCATTTGTTGTAAAGCTGGTTTGGTGGTGCTGAATTCTCTCAGCTTTTGCTTGTCTGTAAAGGTTTTAATTTCTCCATCAAATCTGAATGAGATCCTTGTTGGGTAGAGTAATCTTGGTTGCAGGTTTTTCTCCTTCATCACTTTAAATATGTCCTGCCACTCCCTTCTGACTTGCAGAGTTTCTACTGAAAGATCAGCTGTTAACCTTATGTGGATTCCCTTGTGTGTTATTTGTTGTTTTTCCCTTGCTGTTTTAATATTTTTTCTTTGTATTTAATTTTTGATAGTTTGATAATATGTGTCTTGGCATGTTTCTCCTTGGATTTATCCTGTATGGGACTCTCTGTGCTTCTTGGACTTGATTAACTATTTCCCTTCCCATATTAGGGAAGTGTTCAACTCTAATCTCTTCAAATATTTTCTCAGTCCCTTTCTTTTTCTCTTCTTCTTCTGGGACCCCTATAATTGGAATGTTGTTGCATTTAATATTGTCCCAGAGACCTCTGAGACTGCCCTCAATTCTTTTCATTCTTTTTTCTTTATTCTGCTCTGCAGTAGTTATTTCTGCTATTTTATCTTCCAGGTCACTTATCCGTTCCTCTGCCTCAGTTATTCTGCTATTCATTCCTTCTAGAGAATTTTAAATTTCATTTACTGTGTTGTTCATCATTGTTTGTTTGCTCTTTAGTTCTTCTAGGTCCTTGTTAAACATTTCTTGTATTTTCTCCATTCTATTTCCAAGGTTTTGGATCATCTTTACTATCATTACTCTGAAATCTTTTTCAGGTATACTGCCTATTTCTTCTTCATTTGTTTGGTCTGATGGGTTTTTACCTTGCCCCTTCATCCATTGTGCATTTCTCTGCCTTCTCATTTTGCTTAACTTACTGTGTTTAGAGTCTCATTTTAGCAGGCTGCAGCTTCCCAGTTCCCGTTGTTTTTGGTGTCTGCCTCCAGTGGGTAAGGTTGGTTGACTGGGTTGTGTAAGCTTCCTGGTGGAGGGGACAGTTGCCTGTGTTCTGGTGGATGAGGCTGGATCTTGTCTTTCTGGTGGCCAGAACCTTGGCCAGTCGTGTGTTTTCGGGTGTCTGTGACCTTATTATGATTTTAGGCAGCCTCTCTGCAAATGGGTGGGGTTGCGTTCCTGTGTTGGTAGCTGTTTGACATTGGGTGTCCAGCACTGAAGCTTGCTGGTCGTTGAGTGGAGCTGGGTCTTAGCATTGAGATGCAGGTCTTTGGGAGAGCTTTTGCCACGTGTTATTATGTGGAGCCAGGAGGTCTCTGGTGGACCACTGTACTGAACTCAACCCTCCCATCACAGAGGCACAGGCCTGACACTCAGCTGAAGCACCGAGACCCTGTCAGCCATGTGGCTCAGAAAAAAAAGGAGAAAGAAAGAAAGAGAGAGAGAGAGAGAGAGAGAGAGAGAGAAAGAAAGAAGGAAAGAAAGAAAGAAAGAAAGAAAGAAAGAAAGAAAGAAAGAAAGAAAATAATATCAAATAAAATAATTAAAATTAAAAATAAAAAATAATTAAAAAGTAATAAAGAAAAAAAGGTCAGAGAGAACCCTAGGATAAAGGGTAAAAGCAAAGCTATACAGAGAAAGTCATACAAAGAAGCATACACATACACACTCACACAAAGAAAAAAGGGAAAAAAATATATCTATAAAAAAGGAAGAGAGCAACCAAATCAATAAACCAATCTACCAATTATAATAAACTCTGAACACTAAAATAAGATAAACATAAAAACAGAAACAAATTAGATACAGAAAGCAAACCCCAAGTCTAAAGTTGCTTCCAAAGTCCACTGCCTCAATTTTGGGATGATTCGTTGTCTATTCAGATATTCCACAGGTTCAGGGTACATCAAGTTGATTGCAGAGATTTAATCTGCTGCTCCTGAGGCTGCTGGGAGAGATTTCCCTTTCTCTTCTTTTTGCACACAGTTCCTGGGTTTCAGCTGTGGATTTAGGCCTGCCTCTGCGTGTAGGTCACCCTCTGGCATCTGTTCTTCACTCAGACAGTACAGGGTTACAGAAGCAGCTTATTAGGGAGCTCTGGCTTACTCAGGCCAGGGGGAGGGAGGAGTACAGAATGTGCGGCCAGCCTGCAGAGGCAGAGGCTGACATGACGTTGCAACAGCCTGAGGTGCGCCGTGTGTTCTCCTCAGGAAATTGCCCCTGGATGATGGGACCCTGGCAGTGGCGGGCTGCCCAGGCTCTCGGGAGGGGAGGTGTGGATAGTGACCCGTGCTTGCACACAGGCTTCTTGGTGGCTGCAGCAGCAGTCTTAGTGTTTCATGCCCATCTCTGGTGTCCGTGCTGATAGCCGCAGCTCACACCCATCTCTGGAGCTGTTTTAGGCAGTGCTCTGAATCCCCTCTCCTCGCGCTTCCCGAAACAATAGTTTCTTGCCCCTTAAGCAGTTCCAGACTTTTTCTCAGACTCCCTCCCAAATAGCTGTGGTGCACTAGCCCCCTGCAGGCTGTGTTCATGCAGGCAACCCCAGCCCTCTCCCTGGGATCTGACCTCTGAAGCCAGAGTCTCAG